ATATATATATATATATATATATACAGGTGGTAGAGAAATTATATTTGTAAAAGATTGCGCTGTATTAAGTTTATAAAGCCACTGATTATTATGGAAATGTGTATACTGGTCCTTCGTACAATATTTTAAAGCTGCTGAATCAACCCATATACAATCAATTATTAAGTATCCATTTTCTTATGATCCGTATATATTAAACTGTTGAAATAACTCCCCATTTCTACAATGTTTCAAGTCAGTTGTGAAACGAATCCTTGTGTCAAATATTAGGTCGCCAGACCAGTAAACAACCAAGGTCGTTAAATACCACACAAATAAGGTGAGGTAATACAGAAAAATAAGGTGAGGTAATACAGACAAATGAGGTGAGGTAATAGAGACAAATAAGGTGAGGTAATACAGACAAATCTGGTGAGGTAATAGACAAATAAAGTGAGGTAATAGACAAATAAGGTGAGGTAATAGACAAATAAGTGAGGTAATAGACAAATAAGTGAGGTAATACATACAAATAAGGTGAGGTAATACACGCAAATAAGGTGAGGTAATACAGACATGGTGAGGTAATAGAGACAAATAAGTGAGGTATTACACACAAATAAGGTGAGGTAATACAGACAAATAAGGTGAGGTAATACACACAAATGAGGTATACAGTGATTGTGTTTTCTAGTGGGGTAGAACACCAACAGGAATCTCAAGTCATTCAAGAGAAACAATTGTCATTTTATTAATGCCTGCTCTAGACTTCATAAACACGTGAAATACAGTAGTCGCACGTAGGTCTTGTCTGAATGTAATGAATTGGTTACTAGTAAATCTATAATAAAAATAAATAAATATATATATATATATATATATATATATATATATATATATATATATATATATATATATATAATATATATATATATATATATATATATATATATATATATATATATATATATATATATATATATATATATATATATATATATATATACATATATATATATAATATAAAGAACTAGATATTTTGTTTTATTTCTAATTTCTGCTAAGCAGCACTTAAGTATTGCTTGTATTTTTAAAATAATTATTAATTAATATTTGATTATTTTTAATGTAGCTTTAGGTCCAGTATTTAAATAAAGTAACTTTAGGTCCAGTATTTAAATAAAGTAGCTTTAGGTCCAGTAAAAAAATGTTTCAAGTAGAACGAAAACTTTGACGTTCCGACGTGAGACAAAATCTAGAATCTTCCCGCTGTCAGACAACCGGTGCTGAGATCGACTAAAAGATCAACCCCAGCTTTAAACAGAACTGGTCTTTTAAATAAAACTTTCAGATTGTTACCAAGGCTTCAATGAGACTGGCGCGAATATTGTTGTAATTGATGAACTCAGGCGTATAAACTAGGCCCACTCAAGTGTGGATACCGTACATTGCTCCTCATTCATCCCCCCATAGCTGAAAGCCCAATACTGAGAGAAGAAAGCACAAACCGTAGGGTACTAAGCTAAGCTTTAGTTCCCTGTACTGTATTTAGGCTAAAAAAACCGGCCCTGTAGACGCCTGAAGTGAGAAAAAATGAAGTGAATGGTGCGTACGGCAGTGTTGGCCTATTCGAGTGTTTCTTTAGGTGAGTTCACTCACAAGGCAAGCCTGCAAGCAATTACCTGCTCCACAGAACACGCTACCACTGCCAAGTACCGCAGCTATAAAAACTTGCTGCAGCCAAATGGAAAATCTTGGCAGCATGCGAGCTTAGTTTAAAATTATTTTCTCTATAAATAAAAATCACAATTTTAATAACAAGAGAGCATATACCATTTTACATTCTAACTACCAGTGTCAGAAGATATAACCAAATGTACACACTGACTAGGTTCTAGTCGTAACAAAAGGATATATTATTTTACACGCTGACTAGTTGTAACAAGAGGATATATTATCCCACACACTGACTACCAGTAACAAAAAGGTATATTATTTTACACGCTGACTACCAGTAACAGTATGTATTACTTTACAAACTACCAGTAAACGTTATATCTCGACTGACCAGAGTACACCAACATCTCTTCAAGTAAGTAGTGACTACAGCTAACCATCACATCCCAGCTACTTCAGCTATACATCGTCTAGCTCAGGGGACTGTGGGTGAGTAGTCTGTCTGTCACTCAGACAATCAAGAGAGTGAGTACCGTCATGGTGGCCGCCTCATACCAAGAGAGACTCCCTTGTTACGTACCTGGTCCGGCCAACACTTTAACTTACAGTAAATGGTATTGGACAATACAACTTTCATGGTCTGTGGTCACTTTAATCTAACGATGGGAATCTTAAGGGAGATGTTGACACCACAAATAATCCAATACATGACACAAAGCCCCGACACTCTGCTAGAAAACATTTCGTCACCAGCACAATAAAACTTGGTCACACACGGGCGGTCCCTATGTTTAGCTAGAGTACAATGATCTAACACTAAATGCTTTAAGATCAGCAACAAAGTGCTATAAGATCTGGTACAAATATATTATAAGATCTGGTACAAAGTGCTATAAGATCTGGTACAAAGTGCTATAAGATCTGGTACAAAGTGCTATAAGATAGACACCAAAGTGCTATAAGATCGACTATTAAGGCTATATGATGAGTGTTACTATCAGCAAGGACACCAGTAGTTTGACTTGCTAAAATACAAATTTTCTAACAATTTAAAATGAACAAAACAACCTGGATTTATACAAGCTAACGTGACGAAAGTAATTCAAACGGTACAAAGAATTTTGTGAGCAGTTATCTGTCACCTAAAGCCATCAGTCGTGTTACATGTCCGAGTTTAGAGCTGTAGAACCAAGGTTTTAATTATCATATTCCTCGGCTCACCTTTGGTTAATGATATAATTTCTTCAAAAAATAAATATACTCAATTGATCTGCGTAAAATATCCCAAATTGTGTGATTGATTCATTGCCGTAAAAATATTAAAATACAAAACAAAGAAAAAAAAATTCCTTAACGGGAAATTATCATAATTTACCTTTATGGATGAATTTTTTTTGTTAATACAACCTTTCTAGAAGGATGATAATTTCTTAGCCTCAAGATACTCTTATACTCTAAATTGAAAAAGGTATTATTGGCGTAAATTTCCTACTTTCAACAAGAAAGTACTTCCTTAGATTCAAAATATCAGTGTCTGCTCAATAAAGATGATTATTCCTCAGTTTTCCAAATACCCTAATATTTTCAATAAGGATATACTCCTCAGTTTTTCAAATACCCTAATATTTTCAATAAGGATATATTCCTCAGTTTTTCAAATACCCTAATATTTTCAATAAGGATATATTCCTCAGTTTTTCAAATACCCTAGTATTTTCAATACGGATATATTCCTCAGTTTTTCAAATACCCTAGTATTTTCAATACGGATAGTAATTCCTTAGCGTGAAAATATCTAATGAAGCTAAAGCTAATATTTAGAAGATGTGTACATGTGATAACATTTGTAGGGAAGTGTTGATTTTCATTTCTCTGGCACAGGTAGGCTATGTACCCAAGGTAAGTTTGGTCGGCTGGGGCTCAGGTATTTCCCAGACATTGGAACCACGCTCATATTTGGATCAATGTTTGTTTTTGGTGGGGTTTTTTTTTTTGGGGGGGGGGGGGGAGGGGGGAGTTCATTTAATATTTTAAAATAATTTAAATTTAAGAAATGATCGCACTGTATTGAAAGTAAATTATTCAGTTAACTGTCTCACTCAGAACAGTAACAGTAAAGTAACAGCCTGTCTCCCCACACAGCATCGCATACCCCACAAACACACACCGGAGAGACCCACCATCGCCTACCACACAAACACAGCATCCCTACCCCACAAACACACACCGGAGAGACCCAGCATCGCATACCCCACAAACACACAACTACCCCACAAACACACCCTGGAGAGGCAGTGACCGAGCAACTAAATGCCAAGAAGTGTGTCATGCTGCAGTTACGTCATCTCACACGCCTCACGGCTGTTTGTACCAGCCCGGGGCGTGCCCGTCTTGTACACAGCTCTGTGTTGTACACAGCTCTGTGATGTACAGAACTATTTGATGTACACAACTATGTGATGTACACAACTATGTGATGTACAATACCATGTGACGTACACAGCTCCGTGTGATGTACACAACTATGTGATGTATAAACTATGTGTAGTGTGCACTGTGATGTACACATCATTGTGAGGTACACATAATGCACGTGTATGCAGCACACACAGATTGTTGTATTGACTCACAAAGCATCAATAACCTGAAGCGTAAGCTTGTGAGTATAAATAATATCGAATTCATATACTGTATCGTTAGTTTTCTTATATACAACACAAGTCTAAAAATAATTTATGTGATAACTATTACAACTTCATTTCTACTTCTATACAAATGTTTCTTTGTATTATAAAGTACCCACACATTATATATATATATATATATATATATATATATATATATATATATATATATATATATATATATATATATATATATATATATATATATATATATATATGAGCTGATCTTGTTTAATAATTGAATTAAATTATTTGTTTTAACGTAGAAGATGTTTAAGTTACATCTAGACTCTAAAAATTATTTAGAACCCTAGAGATCACGTATTTATAAGAAGACCCCCATTGTTACCATTGACACCCCCCCCCCCCTGTGTGTGGAAAGTTTGTGTGGGGGTGTCGCGTGTGTGAACTGTATAGACGCAAGATTTGGTCGAGTCGTGTCAATGGCACATGCTAAACAATGACACCAACCGCTATAGACCTGACTAACGTATGGTCTACAGAAGAGCTAGGTTAAAGACACCCACCGCTATAGACATATCTGACTATCGTGTGGTCTACAGAGAAAGGTATAGAACACTAGAGGCAGATGAGAGATTGAATGCGGGGTAGAACCATGAGCTAACAGTGTCACTTTGGGTGAGTACAACACAATCCTACCTGGGCATGCGAGGAAATGGAATGGGCGGGAACTGGCCATACTGATAGGCGTGAAGTATACTCCACATAGCGGACATGGTGAGCAGTTGTCCGATGGTTAGTCCATACACAGGTGTTCCATGAATGAGCACACTAGTTGAGATGTCCACACAATTAGTGAACACGAGATGTCCACACTATTAGTGAACCAGTAGTTGAGATGTCCACACAATTAGTGAACCAGTAGTTGAGATTTCCACACAATTAACGAACACATGAGCTGACAAACGTAAAAAAGATCAATCCACTACCAAGCTAATGTAGAGAAAGTCTCCCGAAATCCTTTATACCGTTATCTAAAGCATCAAACTTTTTAGTATTGCGAGATTACTTAGCTCTAACATGGGAAAAAGTGGAGAGAAAAATGTCCATTAATAAAAGTCATAAAAAGCTTTTAACACCGGATGATTTTCTTCCCTCGTCAGATCAGCTTTAGGTTGCTGTGCAGTGTACCGGAAAGTTTTTTGGCGTGGCCACGGTCACAGAATGTCAGCACACATCCTACACTAGTCTACAGCGGCATCCAACGTTTAGCATACGACAGATACCACATCAGTCTACAGCGTCATCCAGCATTCAGAATACGACAGATACCACAGCAGTATACAGCATCATCTAGCTTACAACTAGAGCAACTCTACACAGATAATCCTGGTCGATACTTCATGGCTCTCTGCCTCATCGTCTGCTCATCAAATCACAAATCATCGCTGATTAGAAAAAAATAATTAGTGTCTGTCCCAACACGATTTACTCGCCAGGTTTCTAAGTGCATCGTCTACAAGAAATAACGTTTGGAATATTTACTCAACTGTAACATGGGCTAAACCAACATAAATACACGGTACATTTTACTAACTAAATGCTTATTCTAGTTATGTTGTCTAACCTAAACCTAAGCTAAACCAACAGAACTAGACGGAACATTTTACTAACTAAATGCTTATTCTAGTTATGTTGTCTAACCTAAACCTAAGCTAAACCAACAGAACTAGACGGTACATTTTACTAACTAAATGCTTATTCTAGTTATGTTGTCTAACCTAAACCTAAGCTAAACCAACAGAACTAGACGGTTCATTTAACAAACAAAATGCTCATTCTAGGTATGTTATAATCTAACCCTAACCTAAGCTAAACCATAGAAACGGTAAACTTCAAAACTAGAGTTTATTCTGGGTATATTGTAATCTCCCCTAACCAGCTATCTAATTTGTCTATGTCGTAGACCTTGTCGACTAACCTTAACCGCCAACGGCCGTGTTTTCGGAATGCTGTAGTTCCACAACTAGCCCGCCCCCGCAGTTACACAACGATGATTGTAACACCACCACCAACAAGCAACGATCTCCTGCTACAGGTAAAGTCTTATTTTAAACTACGCACTCTTTCTCTCCCTGCCGACATTCGCAAACATCCAGAGGGGAAATGGAATTTTCGGATGAGATTAAAGTAATTATCGGGGAAAAAAAGATCAGATATGACTAATTGAATTCTCCCAATCAGAGCCGTATGCAACTCATGTGGGAACCGTGTTCAGTGAAGCGTGGACTCTCTAATCCATCCTTTCAGCGTGGGCTGATGCCAGAAGCTGAAATTATTCCCAGAGAATGGAACCATTAACGGGCTTAAGCCGCGCTACGGCTAAAAACAAATCCCTGACTAACAGGCGAATTTGATGCAACAATTAGCCAAATACTTCCCGTGTGGACTGACTAAAGCGTGGCCGAGGGTTACCCACGCTTACCGTGATGCTCTATCGTGTTGATATGAAGGTATGTCCGCATCGTGGGACCAGTGTCAACGTTTGGTTGGTCAATGCTAGACTCATTGAAACGTTGGCTCGTGTAAACACGTCTAATATGTAGGATATAACATGTAGTATGGCTGAAGTAGCCTATAACATGTAGTATGGCTGAACTAGCCTATAACATGTAGTATGGCTAAACTAGCCTATAACATATAGTATGGCTAAACTAGCCTATAACATGTAGTATGGTTAAACTAGCCGTTAACATTTCGTAAGGTTAAATCAGCCTATAACACTTCGTATGGCTAAACTAGCTGATAACATTTCGTATATTTAAATTGCCTATAACATTTAGTATGGCTAAATTAGCGTATATTATTTCGTATGGCTAGATTAGTCTATAACATGTCGAATGATTAAAGTAAGCTATACCATTTTGTATGATTAAATTTGCTTGTAACATTTCGTAAGAGTAAATTAGCCTATGGCATTTCGTATAATTAAATTAGCTTATAACAATTCGTATGATTAAATTAACCTATCACATTTCGTTAGATTAAACTAACCTATAGCGTTTTTGTATTATTAAACTAAACTATAACATGAATAATTAAACTAAGCTATAACAAGTCGAATGATTAAATTATCCTATAACATTTATTATGATTAAATTAATCTATAACTATTTTGTATGATTAAACAAATCTATAACATGTCGAATGATTAAATAAATCTATAAAACGTCGAATGATTAAATAAATCTATAACATGTCGAATGATTAAACTAAGCTATATCATTTCGTATGATTAAATTAGCCTAAAATATTTCGAATGTTCAAAGTAATCCAACACTAACATTAGGAATAATAAAACTACTTATACGCCCTATATTTAAACTAGATATAAAATGTTTAGGCCTAATATTAAAATATAAAGTAGTTTTAAACAATAGCTAATAAAATCATCTAGATTCTGTTTACTATTCCACAACATTACCTACTATGTTATGTAAGTAACCAACTAAAGCTCCAATTATATCACTAGCCTAGCTTATAACAGTACAACGTTTATCCTCTCCGTATTTACGAAAACACTCGACTAGGTTTAAATCACAACACGTGATGCCTCCAGAAAGCCACAAATCTCCGTCAGAAAACGCTCACGAAATGTAGCATCGAGTCGCACATCTTTCAACAATGATCCCCGCAGCCTCCACAGACAATACTCTAAGTCCGGCCAGTTTGTGTTTGCCTACCAAGATAAACACATGATCCTATCAGGCCAGCTCGACCGTCAGGACTGGGAACCCGAGAAATTGTAACACGACGGTAGCGGGTGCTGGAGGGCCGGCCGTGCAACCACCGCCGCTTCGCCTCTCGCCGTCTGCACGTTAAATAAGCTCTACTCTCGCTGCTCCCGCTCCACGCTTCAATGCTTCGGTCATAACCAATCCGGGCCTCTCTTTCACTCTATGCCAGAGTTTACACTTGCTGACCTGAGACCCACCCCGCCACCCTCCCTGCTTTGGTGAATCGGGTAATTTTTTTTTTAAACGTGAACACAGAAATGTTGCAGTTAAGAATGAGGGGGTAAAAAAAAAAGTTAACACCGCTTGAAGATTACATAATACAAGTCATTAAGTTTTTACCACGGTTCACTGGGAGCTGATGTGGTGATATGCCGTGTAATAAAAACACGACTAGGCCTTGAAATTTTAACTACCTCAGGGCGTAGACGTAAGCAATGATCTACATAAAAGGCTGTTTGTTAAGCAGATTATCTCAACCAATTATGATATCAGGTTTCAACGGTACTCAACTAGTGCAACAATATTTTCAAACTCGGATCATTGTCCACGCCTATATCATATATATATATATATATATATATATATATATATATATATATATATATATATATATATATATATATATATATATATATATCACACAGCGACACCTTCCTCCCACCACCCTCCACCCACCACCACCCAACAGCGACACCCTCCACCCACCACCATCCCAACAGCGACACCCTCCACCCACCACCACCCAACAGCGACACCCTCCAATAGCCTGATCCCCCCTCCCCCCCCCAGCAAGTCTGGAAAAGGAGCCGAGTTCTCAAGATTGAAATCACGTGACGTGTTTAAATTTCCCCAGATGTTTGGTGTCAACTATCAATTCTCATCTCATTTAGAGCCGCACAAGGACGCAATTGAAAAAGTTTTTAAAATCTAAATTCTCCTCAAAAAACATTTCGTAGAGCAACAATTCGTTTCAACGAGCTTAATCACAGAGACCCTCGAATTCAATGAGCTTAATCATGGCGGCCTATGAATATCCCGTCGCTGAAGCTGGCTAGAAAATAATTAAAAATGAAATGTCTTTGAAAACGATGCCGTGATAAGAATATTTAATCCCACGAGAGGGGGGAGCGCATGTGTGACAAGAGGACATACACAAACCTTGACAAACACGGGACTAATTAATTAATACTTGGTGATTGGGGAGAAAATAGAATAAGTATATAGAACAATAGAGTGTAATGGCCGGATTAAACAGTAAAATATTGACGGTGCACACAGTGTAGAGATAAGTCAAATATTGACAGATGTCTTTCGGCAAATGATGACATAGTTGAGGCGAGACTCGGCAGTCAGTCTCGATCCCGTGTGACGACACCAACTCGATGTTGGACTGCGAGATTTGAATCTTCATTCTGGTCTAGCCTGTTTACACGGTGATAGAGCAGGGAGGTACACTCTTACCGTTATACTAGTTCTACCATCAGCCCGTAATATATATATATATATATATATATATATATATATATATATATATATATATATATATATATATATATATATATATATATATATATATATATATATATATGAATAAGTATTATATTTGTATATAAACAATATCAAAGCAAGTTGATTAAAAAAAAACCGAGTTTATAACGACCAGTTTGAAAAGACACATCAAGCTAGTTGAACTATATAGGGCGGTGCAGCAAGATTAAAGGTAAAAGAACGGTTGATGATCCAATGGGGAATTGAGGGAAATTGTCCCGATGATCCAACAACGTCTGACAAAGACGTTTGGCCGCTGTTGGTGTAGATGAAACAAGGACTTAACCTTGTTGACGATGCTGTTATTACCCAATGCGAGTAATTTACTCACAGACATGTTATTTTCTGCATCAAGTGCGCATGACTCCGCCAGTAGGTGAAATTGGTCGCCTCCGCTACAAAATCGATACACCCCCAATATTAGTTGTAGGGGGTGGGGGCGGCAGCAAAAGTAAATGTAAGCTTATTGATTGTGCACAAGTTATCATAGGTGCACATTACGTTTCATTGTCTCATAGGCCGGAGCTAGCATTTGGGAAGAAATTACAGAGGCCCAGACGAGAGTTAGCAAGGCAATCATTATTTAAAACATGTGTAGCAGTCGATGGTTAGTTAGAGGCCTGCGGGCCCATAGATTCATGAGGTAATTCAACAACACGCATTGCCACTTTCCTCAGCCACAGCTGCTGGGGGGGGGGGGGGTGTGGAGGGGGCCTTTGATACAACAATGTTTTATGTATGTTTCCAATGTATGCTGGGTACGGCTGATGCTTTAGAGTAAACAATTTAAAGAGTAAACAAATCAAATATGCGTATCTTCTCCACGTCAAAAAGCTATGACATCAGCAGTCAATACAATTCAAATGTCAATTTTTTAAAACAATATTACGCATGCATAGCGTTCGATACGGAGTTTTTATTTTCTTGTTGAACTACCATCGGCGGATATGGTTATTATTTTTGTTAAAAGACTTGCTAATTATAAATTAGCAATTCCTGTATAGAATTCTTTCAGCGGTGTGGTGAATGAAGTTAACTTCTGCCTTACAGGTAGAAACGTCCTTAGTAGTTATATCTCGAATGGATGATTATATATATATATATATATATATATATATATATATATATATATATATATATATATTTATATATATATATATATATGTATGTATTGCTGGGTGAATCAATAGCAATAAAGTAGCGGCGAGTGGGGAAAGTTCAAGATCCTCTATCTGATAGAGTCTGTGACATCATCCTACTGGAGGTTAGAGCATCTAAAGCACCAGCCATTGAGGGGCGTGGAAAGCGATCTACTGGTCAATAACTGGCGGTTAGGGGCATGTTAAACGCACATCCCAGAAATCCTGGTAAACCTGGTTTGATAGTTCTCCCAGCAAGTAAATTGTGTGCAGAAATCTGTCCGCCAAGAACTATGTTCGATCTCTGCATAAGCTGCAGGTCCAAAGAAAGGGGGAAAAAATCTATACGTGTTATCATAGTGAAATCAATGGGCGGGCAGGGAAGGAGGGGGTTGAAATAATCCACCCTCGGAGGGTAAAGGTAAGAGGTCATCGATTGCAGGTATCGACGGGTCCTTGGTCAGCCTAGCACAGCGGTACGGGCGTGTCCGGATGCTGCTAGGATTAACCAGCACAGGTGCTAAGCCTTTTACTCAGGTGAGAAAAACTACACACCTTCAGAAGAAAAACCGAGACCAATTATAACGAGAAAATAAGCGCATCATGTGACCCCACAGCCTCCATCCCCCCTCCCCCCAGCCTGAAATTACGCAAATCTTTCAGCCGGCTTTATGCTAACTATTGATTGGAAATATAGTGAAGGGAAAATGAAAGGCTTGCTTCTATTCTGGAACTAGGAAGTCGAGAACAATGGCACTTTTTTCTCTCCACGGCTTGGGCAAGTAAAGTGTCAACTAGATAATTATACAGGCACATCAATATATAAGCAGTATTGATAGATTCTTTTTCAATGGGGCAGCCAGCTTAACGAAAGCCACACAACTATTTATTATTTGACTCTTATATAGACCTGCTTTTAGATGAACTAAAAACTAGAGTTAGCTATAGAAACTAACTAGGATTAATTCTGCATTGAATTAAAGGTCGAAGCTAATGAAGGAGATCAATGGAAGACGCCGGACCGAGGGCTGGGTTGTTACATGGTTAAAGGGCAGAACTACATTGGGTTGCTACAGGTTAGGGTAAAGGGCAGCACTAGATTGGGTTGTTACAGGTTAAAGGGCAGCACTACATTGGGTTGCTACAGGTTAAAGGGCAGCACTACATTGGGTTGTTACAGGTTAAAGGGCAGCACTACATTGAGTTGCTACAGGTTAAAGGGCAGCACTACTTTGGGTTGCTACATGTTAGGTTAAAGGGCAGCACTACATTGGGTTGTTACAGGTTAAAGGGCAGCACTACATTGAGTTGCTACAGGTTAAAGGGCAGCACTACTTTGGGTTGCTACAGGTTAAAGGGCAGCACTACATTGGGTTGCTACAGGTTAAAGGGCAGCACTACATTGAGTTGCTACAGGTTAAAGGGCAGCACTACTTTGGGTTGCTACAGGTTAAAGGGCAGCACTACATTGGGTTGCTACAGGTTAAAGGGCAGCACTACATTGGGTTGTTACAGGTTAAAGGGCAGCACTACATTGAGTTGCTACAGGTTAAAGGGCAGAACTACTTTGGGTTGCTACAGGTTAAAGGGCAGAACTACATTGGGTTGCTACAGGTTAAAGGACAGCATTACATTGGGTTACTACAGGTTAAAGGGCAGAACTACTTTGGGTTGCTACAGGTTAAAGGGCAGAACTACATTGAGCTTTATTGAACAGTCAATTTTTTTATGTTGTAAGCAACGGATAAAGTCATTTAGCTTAAGTCAGATGACTTGAAAAGTTCAGTTTCCATTAAGATATTATTAATTGTCATTTAGACACAATCCCTAAAATAGGCCATGAGACAGTACACGTCGAGAGATGTAATAAGACTACAAGACTAGTCTAGAGATAGAATGAGACAGGTCTAGTCTAGAGATGTAATGAGACAGGTCTAGTCTAGAGATGTTCTGAGACAGGTCTAGTCTAGAAATGTTCTAAGACAGGTCTAGTCTAGAGATGTTCTGAGACAGGTCTAGTCTAGAGATGTAATTAGACAGGTTAGCGCAATTAGCCCACAGGTATGTTATTCCTGAAGAAAGCCGGACCTCTCAGAAGCCAGCGACATTTGTCGACCATAAAAAACAAAAGGGATGAAGTAGAAAAGCTAAAACGTAATTCTCCAACTTGGAGGGCCGTTCAGATCGCCGTGTGCGCTTGTTGAAATAATCAGCCAACACGGCCACATCAAAGCGATAGAAAAGCTTTCATTCAAATAAGATGTGCATTGTCAATGCATTAGAAATCAAGGCGTGACG